TATGAAAATAATCGAAAACTTTTATTAAGCAACTGTAATTGCAGGTGATAAATTATAACTTTACTTATACATAGCATCTGTTAATACCGGCATCAAGGCTATATCCAGATAGTTCGGCAGTTCGTTTGTCTTCCACAAATACATATTGATTATTGACAATCTGTGACATGCAAAGCAAACATAACAAGCAAAAATTAAAAAAAAACTAATAAGCGGGCCTAGAATTAGTAAATACAAATGCACTCTGACAACTTATTAGTTAAATTGAGCACGACTGAATATCTTATTATCTGCATGGTAGAGATCTCAACTTGCGACATTAAACTTATGCTACCTTTTAGAACGAAAGTGCATAATAAATGTAGAATCTACTGTGTATATTTGCTCATTCGAATCAATTCATACGAAGCCATCCGGTTGTATATTGGATAAAACAACCGAACATTGACAGTTGGTCTTGGATTTGCACTTCATTAACGGCTCGCTTGGCATAGTTTTTTTTAGTTTTGCACGCGTACCTAACACTAATATTAACATTAATAGAATACGTGAATAGAACGATTTATTCCTATATAGCCCTATATACACCTTCAATATCCAATAGACGTAGATCACTCCTATCCATGTCTCCCTAGTCGCTAACTGTAACTAATTTAGAACCGGCATGCACTGAAATTATTCTTCGCATTGCAAAATGACATACGCATGCGTCAGGAACTTCTATTCGAACAAACCTCACCTGCCGTCCGGGTCAGGGATTTTAAAAAAGTGGCAACACTAGCACGGAATTTTTTATTACTTATTCTGTAACGAAACTGAATTTTAGTCTTGTAAATTGAGATACCTAAATAAGGGGGGCGAAATTTAAAGTAAACGAATTAATTATTGTATTTAACATTTAAATTTCAGTTAAGAAGAAAAAAGAGAGTGAGCAATACGATATTCAGCACAATTCAAAAAGACAAAAAAAGAATAAGTGTAATGCAAACAAAACGAAATTCATCCCTTCAATTAGAAAACACAACAACATTCAAAGAAATATAAAGAGGAAATATCTCAGAGTAACGCGTTCATCTCACTCTAAACAAAATCACACATGTGATATTATTACATATTTTTTCGTATTTTCGGAACAGCAATGTTTCATTTTTTCTTGTGATTATTACATCTAAATAATTAATTTCATAATTTTTTTCTTCTTCATAAGTAAATTTAATGTTCTTATTTAAACTATTTGCATAATCCTTGATATTTTCAGCTGTAACGTTATTTGAGTCGTACAAAACTAATATGTTATTCTGTTCTCAGGGTTGTACTTAATGTTTCTAAATCATGACTAGCGGGGCAAGATCGGCAACATAAAGCCACATTAGAAGCAAAGGATAAAAATAAAAAATTCGGAACTTGCAGATCGGAACGGTTTTAGAGAATGCGGATTCGAAGTAAACTAAAAGAAAGAGGCAGAAAAGTCCTAAAGAACCAGAAAATGACGGTAAAAATTCTTATTGTGTATATTGCAATGAAAAATATGGCATTATTCAGGTTATGCTGTAAATGTAAACTCTGGGCTCATATGAACTGTACGGATGTAGAAAATGAGTATGTTCAATTTATTTGTGATATGTGTAGAGAATAAGAAATTAAACAATATACTTTTATGTTGCTTTTACATTGGTTTAGGATGTTTTCATTTATTATTTGTTTGATTACAGAAAAAATCAAACGGATAATAAATGAAAGCATGTTTGCATTATTATTTTATTTATATATGTCTTTGAACTTGCATTTCGTTGTAATAATATAAGATAGGTGTTGAAATTGTATTTCTTTATTTTAATAGTGAATTCCAATTTATACATTGTTAAAAACATAAATTTATATACCTGCCTATCTTGCCTCATTACTGTTTCCCCTATATCAGAGGCAACTTTAATAAAAATAATTAAAATAATTACAACTTTACAAAAAGAAAAAAGTTGCCGAAGTTGTCCCTATACCCGGGGAAACTTCGCAACTTGATAAATTCATAATAACAATAATTCAAAATGATAAATTCAATTCCTTCCGTTAAGACTTAATCGGTTCGTACTGTTTATAAACCTACTCCTATCACAAGCCCGTGTATAGTATGTGATAAGAGGACTTTATCCAAACAAAAATAACTGCACCTCACATTTCAAATCTACAGAGGCACATTTATACACTCAACAGAATTTATTGTTGAACCATCAATTTTGTTCGCTTTATTCTTACATTTTGCGAAACAGAAGTTGAGATCTTCAGCTCTAAAGCATTCCAACGTTTCCAGAGTAGCAACACATTCACTTTTTTTTTTTTTTTTTTTTTTTTTTTTTTTTTTTTTTTTTTTTTTTTTTTTTTTTTTTTTTTTTTTTTTTTTTTTTTTTTTTTTTTTTTTTTTTTTTTTTTTTTTTTTTTTTTTTTTTTTTTTTTTTTTTTTTTTTTTTTTTTTTTTTTTTTTTTTTTTTTTTTTTTTTTTTTTTTTTTTTTTTTTTTTTTTTTTTTTTTTTTTTTTTTTTTTTTTTTTTTTTTTTTTTTTTTTTTTTTTTTTTTTTTTTTTTTTTTTTTTTTTTTTTTTTTTTTTTTTTTTTTTTTTTTTTTTTTTTTTTTTTTTTTTTTTTTTTTTTTTTTTTTTTTTTTTTTTTTTTTTTTTTTTTTTTTTTTTTTTTTTTTTTTTTTTTTTTTTTTTTTTTTTTTTTTTTNAGGAATTTTCTGGTGGCAGTACTTTTCCAAGAAATTTCTAAAATGAGTGTTCTCCAATGTTTTAAATGGAATATTTGCTGCTATAATAGCATGACACAAATCAGCACTAAACTCATTTTTCTTTGATGAAGTCTCTGAAGTCTGCGTCAAGAGAGTCTGTTTCATTTTATATTTTCGTTCAACGTTCGATTTATGCAGAGCACCTTGTGCATGTTGTGTGAGGTGGCATTTCTTTTCACTGGACACCTACAAAAAATATTAAATTTTATTATTTGTTGTTTTTAAACTACTTTATATTTTATATATATTAACATTATACAGTACAGTATATATAATTTGTAATTTGCAGTAATATTTTAATTTATGAAAATATTTTTTTACTGACCTCTTTATTACAGACTTGGCACAGAATAATCTTGCCATCCGACGTGTAATGAGGGAATTCTTGAAGCCATTGCCGAATTAATGAAGCTTTAGATGTTTTAACTTTTGGCATTTTCACTAAAATTTTATCCACAAGTGAACACTCCAAAGACAAAAATAAAACTGATCTGCAGTAGACTGTCAGGCTGTTATTCTGGCAATTCGGGATTTTATGACTTGGTGACAAAAGACTAGGTGTGGCTAATTGCTGTTTTCAGAGGGTATGGTGGAGGGAGAATTTGTAAAATTTTAACTGCCTTGGAATTTAAGCAATACAGTATGTTAAGAATCAAAGTAAATCTTTTCGGGAAATGAAACAAAAAATTAAAAACTTTTTAAAAATATGAAAACAGGCTAAACTTTATGTTTTAGGCAAAAATAGGCAGTAACGTCAAATTAGGCACTTTTAGGCATTTTAAAATACCATTGTTTCGGTCTAAATGTTCATGAAAAGTGTTAATACAAAATCTTTGCCATGTATATGCTAAGGGAAAAAAATAGGCATTTGCCTAAAATCCGCTGTCTATTAATAACATAAATTTATATAAGTTACCTGCCTATCTTGCCCCATTACTGTTGCCTCTATACCAGGGGCAACTTTAATAAAAGTAATTAAAATAATTACAACTTTACAAAAACACAATTGCCGAAGTTGCCCCAGGTATAGGGGCAACTTCGGCGATTTCTCTCTTTTTGTAAAGTTATAATTATTTTAATTATATTTATTTCCAAACTGATTTTAACCAGTTCTATAGTAAGGTAACATTCTAGTAGACAATAAACAAAGCTTTTTTTTCAGTTTACAGCAGTATTTATTACACAAAATGTAAGTAAAGCTTAACATGCCGAACTTGCCCCGGTCTTCCCTATATATTAAGTCAAAATTTATTAGTAGAAGGCAAATGCCTGTTATAATGGGAGTTCTACTCCTTGTCTTTATCCTGAGTACAGTTACAAGAACCATTCAAACATCAAAAACTTCTTAACATAATTATATAAATTGAAAACATTTTTTTGGGTTGCTCGATGGAACATCCCATACATTGCTTCCACCGATTCACATCCGCTAAAGTCTACAAGATCATATCTCTGTCTCAACTCTAGGCTCTTTTCACATTTACAAATCAGGTGAAATTTAGAAAACGGCATATGACATCTTGAGCATAGATTATTCTCGTATATATACACTTTGTTGTCTATCACCAGTGTACTAGGATTAAGTCGAAGTTGTATAAAAAGTCTCTTCACACAAAATGGTGCGTTCGAAAATATATAGCTATTATTACTTGGTTATAATAATATTGAACTATAACGATTCAATGAAATTCGTAAGCGAGTATCAAATTCGTTATTTAATATTAGTTAAAAATATAAAAATATTTTAAACAAAATATTATAAGATATGGTGCCACACGTAGTTTTAAATGTTCCCGGAAAAGTTAAGCACTCGTTGATGGTCTATTTAATAACGAAAAGAAGTTTTTAATCGTATTTATTATAATTTGTATCACACATCACACCAATTCGCCGTGACTCATGTTTAGTTTTCGGCTTGTAATCAGAAATAAATGATGTAGTGAAGCATGTAATTTTTGTTATGTTAATTAATAAAAATATGTTTTGTTTTATATTTTAAGTTTTTCTTGGGTAGTTTTTGTGTTAAAAAATTCTAATTTCGACGACAGATATCACACCAATTCGCCGTGACTCATGTTTAGTTTTCGGCTTGTAATCAGAAATAAATGATGTAGTGAAGCATGTAAATATTGTTATGTTAATTAATAAAAATATGCTTAGTTTTATTTTATATTTCAAGCTTTTCTTAGTATCCTTTAAGACAAAAAATTCCACTACAGATATCAAGAAAGAAGAAGTAACAGACAATTGTGATGTAAAACATGGTATAAAATCAGAATGTAAAGTTGATTTGAAAAAATTAAAGATTGAAGTAAAGACTGAAGATTGTAAAGAAGTTGTTCATGTACCAGATGATAACGAACAGGTAATGGTAAGTAATACAAATTTCCAAATATTTTACACATTATTAGTAAAATTTTAATATTAAATTAGCTTTCTGAATGGTTAAAAACGTAGTTCAATATCACTAATATAGAATTATGCTTTGAATAAAATTATGATTTGTATGAAATTAAAAATATGTTTTACATAAGAAAATATCTAACAACGAGTTTCGTAACTTTCCTTGCTGTTAACAGATTTTATTTACAAAATAACATTTATGTTGCTAATCATAATAAATAAATAAAATTGTCTGTGCCGCCATATGTTACAAAAACTCTCTATAATTTTAATTATTATATAATGAAAAAATGTTTAATTTTAATTGTAAAAATGAATTTTACAAAAGATTATAAATGCTACCCACATAAAATCTTCATTAAGTATGATCAAAGTCGAAATTTTACACGTTACCATTTTCATCTCTTCACCCCTGGACGTTTATTTACCAAAATTTAATAACATTAATGCTCCTTATACTGTACTCAACATGCTACTAAATTTCGTTTCTTAATCTTCAATCCATTCCGAAATATTAAATGAAATAGACGCTAATGTACATGCTAACACACACATATTCACGGAATTTTTTGCCATGTTTTTGGTGAAGAATCTGAAAATTTGCAAATAATCAGAGGGTGAAAATTGACCAAATTTCAATACTTTATTTTGTTATGCATAGTACAAAATACCAGATTTATTTTATTTTAATTGTCTACTTGCACATTACTCATTTCTGGCACTTTACACTGGTTAATTGACGATACTGAATTTTTGTGATTAAAAATCAAGAGGGTAAGTAGATAATAAAAGTCGTGTGTATATCCAGCAGGGTCGAATTTAACGATGATTTACTCGTTATTAGCAATTGTAATTTTTTATTTAAAACTTATTCCTACGTTTAAAATTCAGTTCTTTGCATTTCTATAATAGTTAAAAATTTCATATTTCAGTTAAAAAACGTTTTATTACAGACAGCACCATTAAAATTTTAAATGTTGCTGAGAAAGTTGAGTAACTCGTTACTAGTTTATATATTATAAGTGATTCTTTGCATATTGTTTAGCCTGTCAACAATGAATTTCGCACTCCGGACGAAAACTGTAACAAGAATGAAATGAACATCCAAAGTAAGTAACATGTTACTTAGTTCAGATCTTTTGATGTAGTATTATTCAGGGGGCAGCTGAAAAACTGCATTCAAGTTTCAACTGTCATACATTAAACTGGGATTAGACATTTGAGAATTACAAGTAACTACCTACATCGTATTAATATAAATTTGAACTTAATAAAACTACGTTTGAATATTTAGAATCATTAAATCACAACTCATGACTAGTGATTTAACGATTCAGTTTTGCTGTGATACTTTTTCCTTTACTTTAATGACTTTTTCCCTCTCTAAAAGCACACAATTTTTCCTACGTTTTCGTTATAACAACTGAAACAAACTACATAAGTAAAAACAGATAAAATAAAACAATTTAATATTTCTCACTCATTTAAATGTCCGATAAAAAAATTAAAGCTGAATCTATTACTTTATGATCGTAAAATGTAAAATGTTTTATTTTTAGTGTAAACAACAAAAGATGCTTTGCTTTTTAATTAAAAACATTAATATACTTTACAAATAATATAACTGCAGCACTAATATCTTAATATTGCAGTTATGTTTTATTTCTTCAAATATTATAAATAATCTATTATATTATTTTTTATCTTTCAGTGGAGGAGGAAGAGCAAATTCAGGAATACTTTTTTCAGCACAATTCACAAACGGAACAACGTTATAAATATAAAATGAAAACGAAGAAATACGTTCCTTCCAATAGAAAATGCAAAAAACTTCATAATAAGATTAAAAGAAAATACTTCAGGATTATGTTTTCATCTCATTCTAAACAAATATTTTCGTGTTATTTTTGTAAACTGCTTTTTGCAAATAACAGAATATTTCAAACACATCTGTTCTGTCATATTGGTAAAAAACCATTTCGCTGCACAACCTGCAATAAGAAGTTTTTGTGGCAATTTCTTTTGCTGAGACACATGAAAGANAACTAATTAATTAATCTTCAATATAATAAGTTTATTTTATTGAATAATATAATATAATGTTCAGCATAATGATTCAGGACAATGCAGTTTTGAACGTCGAACGTGAGAAATAGAAGTTCGGATTAAACGTTTGCTTTTTCTTTGTGTTTGGGTTGAATTTACGACGTATTTTATTAAAATAATGAACTTTTCAGCATTTGCGAACGACATTTTGAAGAAACAGAGATTTTAATCTACAAATTATATAATTATTCAATTTTTTTGCAAGTTATGTGAATGAAGTGCCTATTGAATTTTTATATATTTGTGTACATAATAGCTTATCGTAATACTGTAGAAGTAGGAATTTTCTTTTACGGCATCATATAGTATCGCATTATGCTTGTAAATTTTTAAACTAATTTCCCAGCTGCTTTCGGATTTATATAAGCCAGTACAGTACTTCCCTCAAGAGAAGTATGTCATGAGAACAGGCAAATTGTCCTACTATTATATCGTACGGTGGGAGACACGATGCTAATTAAAGTTAAAAATAATTATTTAGTGTTATTAAATATCCTCTAAATATTTAAAAATAATGTAATTTGTTACTTTTACGTTTTGTGGTAACTTACGCCATTCTTAAATGTTTCCATTTTTCGACAATATCCCATGAATTAGTGCGCGACGTTGTCTCAACGTGTTTTATTTGGAGTTGAAACGTCAAACGTGTACTTCTGCTTGCTTTACAAGTTTAAAGTTTAAACTTCGGATGCAATCTCTCTAATGTAATAAAATGGCAAAACGGCTTTACAACGAATTGTGAAATTTAATAGGTGTAAAAATCTTTCCTTACAGAACTACTCTTTTGGTTTTCACTGGGCTAAATTACTTTATAAATAACATAAATCTGTAGCAAAATCAGTTTACTTTATTAGTAATGTCTTTATCAATGGACAAAATTAAAAGTGAAGAGTCTCGCTTGTTATTTTGTGAATTTCCCCAAAAGACTAAATAATTTCTATAAAATTTTCAAAACAAATAAATTTAAAGCAATTTTTTAATATGTATCTTATATATAAAATTACAGAATACTGATTGGTTATGAATAAGTTTGTAATGACTTTCACATTATTTTTCCTACTATTATATATAAAAGGAAAAGCATGGCGATCGGTCAAAAAATAACTCGCCAAGATTTTTACATTTCTAAACTTAGAGCACCTTCAAACGTCGAAAATGCAAAAAATCGTGCGTTTTAACTGTATATATCGATGTTAGTCTGTGAGGGTGCACGATTTTTTTTATCCTGTTTGAAACTTAACAACTCTTGCTCTTTTTGTCGAAAATTTCTGAAATTTTGCTGCAAAGTTTGATTATTAGGAAAATTGAAGCTATTAAATTTTGCTAGTTAAAAATCGAGAGGGTGGGGAGATAATGGGGGTCGTGTGTATCTTCAGTCAGACTTAATTATGATTTTACTCATTATTCGTAATTTAACTTCTTTATATTAAACTCATCCTTACGCTCAAAATTCAATTATTCGCCTTTCTATAATAGTTAAAAAGATCATATATTATTTTAAAAAAACGTTTTATTACAGACAGCGCCATCAAAATTATAAAACGTTGCCGGGAAAGTTGAGCAACTCGTTTCTTGTTTATATATTATAAATGATTATTCGTGATTGTCATGTATTGTTTGCATATTGTTTAGCCTGTCAACAATAAATTTTTCACTCTGGACGAAACCTTTAACAGGGATGAAATGAACATCCAAAGTAAGTAACATGTTACTTAGTTTAGACTTTTTATGTTAGTATTATTCAGAGGGCAGCTGAAGAATTACATTCAAGATTCAGTTGTCAAACATTTAACTGGGATCAGATATTTCAGAATTATACGTAACCTCCTACAACGTAATAATGTAACTTTTCAAATTAATAAAAATCTCTTGGGATAATCAGAATCATTAAATAATAACTCATGAGTTGTTATTTAATGATTTACGTTATCTTGCTTTGTTCATGGATCCGGTAAATTATTAAAGAAAATGTATTGAAACGAAGTAAACGAAGACTATATAACTTATTTAATGACATAAATAAGTAGAGGAAAAGGTGGTATTATGGAACTCCAATTACATTTTAGTGAATTGTAAACAAGGTATCATAACGACACCCACATTTTTTGTGTATTACATTTCTTCTTCTTCGTGGTGCCATATCAGATTTCTGACGTCGGCGACACCTGGCGTAGGTTAGTAAGCAGTTAGTAACGCGCCAAGGTGTATACTAGGGAAAGTTACTACCCAGAGTGGTTTCCCGTTCGTTGCCTTCTCTGGGGCGCGATGTTACGCGAGGGAAACTAATGCCTTCCGGGAGGACTTTTATGGGGAATTGGCCTCCTATTTAGTCGTTATTGGCAAGGAGAAAACCCGGAAAACTCCAAGCAGCCAGCCTGTCCGATCGCGGCGCGAACCCACGACCGAACTCCCAGTGTTTAGGGTACGAAGACCACTCGGCCACTGGTGGGCNTAGGTTTGTAATCCGCCAAGGTGTATACTAGGGAAAGTTACTACCCAGAGTGGTTTCCCGTTGCCTTCTCTGGGGCGCGATGTTACGCGAGGGGAACTAATGCCTTCCGGGAGGACTTTTATGGGGAATTGGCCTCCTATTTAGTCGTTATTGGCAAGGAGAAAACCCGGAAAACTCCAAGCAGCCAGCCTGTCCGATCGCGGCGCGAACCCACGACCGAACTCCCAGTGTTTAGGGTACGAAGACCACTCGGCCACTGGTAGGCACCTGTATTACATTTGGTAACTATTAAACTAAATGTTTCTAATTGGATTTTTCGCTAGTGCAACTATAAGTATGGTTTTTGAAGGCTTTTGTACAAAAAGTCAGAAAGTAGGCTTAGAGAAAAATGCTTTAATGTAGCGAAAAACAAATTGGAAAGTACAAAAAATGTTAAATAATTGTTTACTCCAGTGTATTTTATCGAAAAAATGCTTTTATAATAGAAAAATATGACCTTCATCAACAATACAGCAGCTCTTTTTCGATACTCTCAGGAAGAATTGGCTTTCTACTTAGTGATTGTTTTCACAAATTGCTCCGAACGAATGTCTACTTGCAAAGAGAGAGTTCGGAGGACTTGGTATCCACATAGGGAATTCGATTCCGGCTCTTATTTTTAATCCCGGGATTATTTCGGTATTGAGGGCTAATAAAAAATAAAAAAATCAGCTCTTTAATTAACAAATCAAAATTTGGACAAAACCAACGTATTTTACGGTATATACCTAGCTAATCTAATCACTCTAACTAATCAGACTTAGAGTCAGACTAACTAGACTTAAAAGCACTCAGTCTTCACTCAGACTGTTAATCCCAGTGTCATGTTAAAGTTATTCTTTTTCAAACATCACTGAGATCTCTTTAAACTTACATAAATTGAAAAAACCCTAAAAATTAACAAAAATTTTTCTTAACATCGACTAAGTAGACGATATTCATGTAACAACCTAGTAAGTAGGTAGTATAGTAAGTTTCTTAGCAAACAGTATTTAAAAATAATATTAATCAGTCACATTTTTCTTAGATATAAAGAAAACTAATCTAATAGAAACATTCTAATTTGAATTGAGAAAATATGATCTGAGAAATAATAACGCATGCAGTGTCTCATCACCAAGTCTGCTTCTCAATTTGTTGCACAATTATGCAGCTGCTGAGAAAGTGCGTTCAGGTTCTATGGAAGTTGGAGGAATCGTTAGTAAATACTTAAAAGCCCGCTCTAGGTTATAGCTCCGAGGACAGGGGATGTTGGAAGAAAACAGTCCGGTCGACACAGAACGGGATTGTAGGCATAAAGGCTAGAGAAACAAATACAGTAGAAGAAGTTAGGGATCGACCTTCCCACCGCAGACTTCTCTACAGTATGAACTAGGGAATTAACTTCCCAACGGAACATTGTGAACGAACGCCGTGGTCTTGTACTACGTGGACCTTGCTATCACTTCTTCCTCCAAACAGGTAAAAGAAAAACCCTCTATAACTGACGCAGGAGAACTTTTTCTGGTTTGTGACTCACGTGCCCCTGGGAAGCGCTTCCCATCGTTTGGTACGCCATCTTATCACTGGACAGACCATTGTTTCCATCATTGTAAGCATGTCTTTCTAAAAATAAAGTCGTTAATTTTGTAAATTTGATCTCTGTGTGAGTCTCTCAGCGTCCAGCAAACCACTAGCCCATACGTAAAAAGGCTTTCTCGCATCATCCTGACAGATCGCGGGAAAGGCGAGGGTCGTAACCAGTGTTGCCGCAATGAAATTTCAAAACGCACTGAAGCCCCTTCAAAAAATGTACTATTTTCCTTCAAAATACTTTGTTTACGTACCTTTATATATATAGGTGCGTAATATATATAGTTTATTGTCGAATAATTTAATTTAAAATTTTATTTTTGGGATTTTTTGAAAGCTATTTATAAATATCTACACATCTATTAGTTATTATAAAATGAGTAGTACATTTACAACATTTATTAATAATACTATTGAATTTCATCTTAATTTTATAACCAATCGTGCTTAAAAAAATAATTATATATTTCTTATATTATGTTATTATATTGTTGTTTTCTTAAAACATGCGACTCAAAAGAAACCTAAAATGGCGGCTCGAGAAGTAGATCACGCGTTCTGGCTTTCTTATATAGACCTTGGAACAGTCGGAAGCGCGGCCATTTTGAAACCACACGTAACATTAACCGTTATTTCTTTTACTACGATTACTAAAATTGAAGTTCATAATTTAAGAATTAAATTATAGTGGTAGAAAATAATATAAAAGTATTTATATTATTTATACTCGTACAATTTCAAAACTATTTTCTGTAATAATTTGTTTCTGACTTAACGGATATTTTGATATTATTGACGACAAAAGTTTAAAATCATTGATTTCCTTACCTGTCCATTATTTTTGTTTGACGGAGTTGAATTGTTTGGACCACGTGGCATGAAAAATTTTGTCAAGGTCCTGATGAGAATGTGCAGACAACTGAACGTGTGAAAGAAGACCACTGAGTCAAGACCGTTTACACGTGCAACTATCTATGTTGCTGACGTCGACGGACACACACCATTTGTATGTTGTGATTGGATAATTTAAATTAGCAAGCAGTGACACTAGTGAGACTTTATTAAACTAATTTTTTCTCATTTTTTCGTTAAGGCGTGAAATATTATTTTGTACCGTAAATGGTACTTGAAATATTATAATGTACTGAAAATGTACTAAAAATCTAAATGTACTTTCAATTTACTGGAAAGGGCAAAATGTACCAGAAAAGTACAAATGTACTAGGAACGGCAACACTGGTCGTAACCTTTTCACCTAAGGTCGACCCTCCTGAGCGAGAGGCGTCGGGTCTATATTAACCACACTGGCAAAACAAAATGGCTGACACATTGACAAGTAAACTGAGCAGTGCTCTCGACTGCGCCAGAAAATCGATTGGCGCCCGCGAAAATTCAAAAATACAGAAATGAAGTATATTACCAGGTAACCCAGTGAGAACTGCTTGCCTGTCATTTTAGTTCAAAATATAAGAAGTTTTATTCCAAACAAGCATCGAAAGTCCACTAGGTTAATTTCTGCTGCTTGCTTAGAATAAAATTTCTTGTATTTTATATTAAAATGATAGGCAAGCAATTCTGCTAAAAGCACTGGGACTGAACGTTTTGCTTCATGCAGTCTATTTTGCAACTTTTTTAAAATGATGTCAATCCCGAAAATTTTGGGACTGAAAAATGGTTGGGATTCCGATTTTCGAGATCCCGGGATCAAATCCTCTAGTTCCACATTACTGTAAAAGCACCAATGGGGTCCATATTTCACGCATCACCATCTTGAATTAACTTATGTCTGTCAAGACCAAAATTTAAAAAACGTGAACATCACACAGATAAATAAGTCTCTGGAACGGAATACATGCACCAGTGAACCTACAATTACACGATTTATATTTTAAAAATAATTAAATTTACTTACCACTCAAAACTTTCGAATTTTGAAAAACACAAATTTGCAGAATCACTACAGACAACCGTTTAACTGAAGTAAAGCAGGTTTCCCCTTGCTATGGATGTTTGCCTAGTTCAGTTCAGCCACAATTTAGTACAGTTCGCCTTTATTATCAGTTCGAAATGCCCATAATACCCGCAGTGTTCCATAAAACCACCTTTTCCTCTATATATTAGCAACGTGTTAAAAAAGATGTTGCTAATATTCTTGAAAACGTTGTACAGATCAACTGAACATACACTCAAATTATGGTATTTTGATTTTTAAAAAAATCACAAAAATCCTCTAATTTTTCCTTTTTATTTATTGATGTAATATATAGACTTTTGCTGCCGTACTTTTTCTTTTACACTAATGATTTCTTTTCCTCTCAAAAAACATACAATTTCTTTCACGTTTCTGTAAAATAAAACAATTTTACACACTCATCTAAAAGTCTGCTAAAGAAACTAAAGCTGAATCATTCAGTTTATGATTGTAAATGTAAAATTTTTTATTTTTTAGTGCAGACAACAAATGATGCTTTGCTTTTATATGAAAAACATAAATATACTTTACCAATTTTAATGCTACAGCACTATTTTAACACTGAAACTATATTGTTTATTGAAATATAATATGCACTTTATCATGTTTTATTTTTTAAACTTTCAGTTCAGGAGGAAGAGCACATTCAGGAATTCGATATTCAACAGAATTCAGAAAAAGAAAAACATTTTAAATATAATATCAGAACAAACAGATACGTTTCTTCGAGTAGAAAATGGAATAAAATTTATGATAAGATTAAAAGTAAATATTTCAAGCTGATGATCGCATTTCATTCTAAAAAAGAACTTACGTGTGAATTATGTAAACAGACATTTACAAATAAGAGAATATTAGAAACACATCTGTTATGTCATATCAGAAAAAAACCATTTTTCTGCACAATCTGCAATGACCAGTTTTTGTGGCAATTTCTTTTGCGAAGACACATGAAGGAACACCAAACTGAAAATAAAAACGAAATCTCTCATATGAATTTACGTTTGCAGCCATCTGCAAAACGAGTGAAGTTGTTTTTAAGAAATGGTAAAAAATCTAATATTCAAAGGAAAAACGACATTTGTGGTAAGCGCGTTGAATATGGTAAAAGCTGTTTAGAGATACAGAATAGAATACAAAAAGTTCATGCCTGCAAAATATGTGGAAAAGAATTTAAGCGGAAATGCCTATTGTTAAGTCATGGAGCACGACATAATGAAGAACGTCCTTTCAAATGCGATAATTGTAATAAGAGTTTTAAAAGAAAAAGTGAACTAAAAAGCCATCAAAATTATCATAGTGAAGAACGTCCTTATAAATGCGATATTTGTAATATGGGGTTTAAAAGGAAAGGCGAACTAAAAAGGCATCAACGAACTCATAGTGAAGAACGTCCTTTCAAATGCGATATTTGTAATAAGGGTTTCAAATTGAAAAGGCAACTAAAAAGCCATCACTTAACTCATAGTGAAGAACGTCCTTTCAAATGCGATATTTGTAATAAGTGTTTCAAATGGAAAGTGTATCTAAAAATCCATAAAAAAACACATAGTGAAGAACGTCCTTTCAAATGCGATAGTTGTAATAAGGGCTTTAAAAGGAAAGATGAACTAAAAAGCCATCAATATTATCATACTGAAGAACGTCCTTTCAAATGCTATAGTTGTAATAAGAGTTTTAAAAGGAAAAGGGAACTACAAAGCCATGAAAAAACTCATAGTGAAAAACGTCCTTTCAAATGCGATATTTGTAATAAGGGTTTCAAATTGAAACAAGTACTAACAAGCCATCACAAAACTCATAGTGAAGAACGTCCTTTCAAATGCGATAGTTGTAATAAGGGTTATAATAGCAAAAGGGAACTAAAAAGGCATCAAGAAACTCATAGTAAAAGCCATCAATATTATCATACTGAAGAACGTCCTTTCAAATGCGATAGTTGTAATAAGGGTTATAATAGCAAAAGGGAACTAAAAAGGCATCAAGAAACTCATAGTGAAGAACGTCCTTTCAAATGCGATACTTGTTATAAGGGTTTCAAATTGAAAGCGCTACTAAAACGCCATCAAATTTATCATATTGAAGAACGTCCTTTCATATGCGATATTTGTAATATGGGTTTTAAACAGAAAGTGCAACTAAACAGGCATAAAGAAACTCATAGTGAAGAACGTCCTTTCAAATGTTATAGTTGTAAGAAGAGTTTTAAAAGGAAAAGGGAACTAAAAAGCCACGAAAAAACTCATAGTGAAGAACGTCCTTTCAAATGTAATATTTGTAATAAGGGTTTCAAATTGAAATATTTACTAGCAAGCCATCAGAGAACTCATAGTGAAGAACGCCCTTTCAATTGCGAAATTTGTAATAAGGGTTTTAAATGGAAAGGGCAAGTAAAAAGCCATCAAAATATTCATAGTGAAGAACGTCCTTTCAAATGCGATATTTGTAATAAGGGTTTTAATCAAAAAGGTAAACTAAAAAGCCATCAAAATATTCATAGTGAAGAACGTCCTTTTAAATGCGAAATTTGTAATAAGGGTTTTAATCAGAAAAGTGTACTAAAAACCCATCAAAATATTCATAGTGAAGAACCTCTTTTCAAATGCGATATTTGTAATAAAGGTTTCAAATGGAAAGAGAATTTAAAAACCCATCAAAATATTCATAGTGAAGACCGTCCTTTCAAATGCGATATTTGTAATAAGGCTTTCAAATGGAAAGCGCAACTAAAACCCCATCATAAAACTCATACTGATGAACGTAACTATTCTTCTTAGGTATGTAACAAAAGGTTTAAAATCAAAGAAAAAAAATGTTTGATAGCTCATAAAATCGTTTATAATGAGAAATTCAACCATACTTGCGATAGGCCTATATGTAACAAATATTTTAAAACAGAACATTATTTGGCATGTCATGAAGTAGTTAATAATCAATTTGACTATACGTAATACGTAGAACTCCCAACGTGTTGAAGGTGTCACGTGCTACCATCTCATACTCTGACGTCAAATTGGTAGTTTTGAGTTTTAACTTACGTGCTTTCCTGTCTCACCATTTAAGTTGCTACTCACGTTGAGTCGAGCATGTGATATCGCTGCACGAAAGTGAAAATGGCTGACGGATACGCAATTTTTATCGCTATAAAAGAATTAGAAAGAGCGAATTTCTTCTTACAACTTCGGTTGTTGTTCGGGGTACAGTTAAGGTTTTAACGAAGTTCGAGCGAATACATAATTAGCAAAAAAAAATTGAAATAAAGTGATTAAACAAAAATTATTACAAATATCGTAAATAACAAATGCATATATAGAGATATTTTTTAAAGGGGGAAATGGTCTTCACAATTTGAAATGGATCGAACACAGTGCTTGAATGCTCGAGTAAACACGCGCCATCTATCGTAGGATAAATGTACTTCGTGGGAGTGTATTAAAAAACTTTCCAAAAGTTTCATGGCAATCGTACTATGCCACAAACCTTCGCCGGAGTATATTAAACAACTTCCCAAAGTTTCACGGCAATCGGATAAACGGTGTGGTAATGCATGAAGGACACACACACACACACATACATTCATTTATATATATATAGATAATATGCTGAAAATTCACCCTCCAAGGATGCAGGAATATTTTTAATGAGTAAATAAATATTGAAGAATTGAGAGAAGCTTCAAGTTGAGCTTGACGTTGTGATGCTGTTTCTCAGTCCTTGACAAAGCCATTTTTTCTCTAAGTTGCTTAAGTCGGAGTTCATTGCTCTCGAGGGTATCGGTTGCTCTTACTCTTTTAGATCTAGAATTTACTTGACCAATTTTATTCTTACGCTTTTTCCCAAAATAGCGATTCTATTTAATCTTATTTTGATAGAACAAAGATGAATTCTATGTAGAGTGTCCATCACCAATACCTAAACGGGAGTACACTATTGGGGGTAACCCCTGCGAACCGTGTTGGCTCCCGTGCTTTCCATTTTTTTATACACATATGTATAAATAAAATACGGAAAAATAAATGTGTGGAATGTTCAATAATCAGCGATAATATTAAACGTCGAAAACCGTACATGAAGTAACAAATGTAAACAATATAAGAAATGATGAGAAAACAAAACTACAGTTCAGTGGGTGATCGGTTAAGGAACATAATCCATTCCAAGACTTTGTTCGTTATCTGAATTGTTTGTACACAGTTTTGCATTTTATTAGTTATGTTTCTTCCGTTTGTGAATCTGTCTAATGTCGATTGCTTTTTTTCTCTTAAGGATTTTTCAGAAATAATTAATAGCATTGTAATTGTTGGTATCCCCAAGCCTATTAACCTCAACTTGGTTTGGATGCCATTCTAAGACCATTGTTCTGACATCCTCCCACTTTTTCAAAAGGTCTTTAATGGCATATATCGGCATTAATCCTCTTTTTCAGAAGAAAACATATTTCGCCGCGTTTCTTGGCGTTCTTCTGTCGTCAGATCTGTTTTAAGTTCCATTATGATCGCTTCAGTGTTCTTTAATTCTCAAATGTGAGTTTTTTTACTTTTTAGCTGCTCGAGTCTTCATTATACTGTATTTTTCTTAGATAAGATTGAACTGCGGCCTGCTGTAGACCTGTTCAAGCCATACTGCCCAGCAACATCATCTGCCCATACTCTACCATTGCTAGTATCCTAAGCCCTTTTTCCAACCAATCCTGTTTAGAGAATACTAAATTATAATATCAAAAAAGCTAACTGGAATATGTTTAGTCAATTGCTCGCCAAAGGCACTTCTGCCCTCAATCCTCTAATGAACCATGATACTCCCGTGGATGATTTAGTTCATGAATATATAAAGTTGTTGCAAAATTCCGCGAATTTTGCAACAACTTTAACAACTTAGCCATTTATGCTAAAAAAAAGTTACAAAAGAATTGTCCCCTGGTGGTCTGACGCTTTGACTGTCTCCATGCGTCGCACAGTGGGTCGTGAGACGATTCTAGCAGGACTTAAGTATATAGGCTGGTGCAATTCATTTTTATAATAAAAATCTTTTACTTAGATATCGTATCAACTAAAAATTTACATATCAAAGTCACATTCGGAGTTTTACTCGGATTTCTCTTGTACTAAGGTTACGCTCGGTGCTTTAATAATTTTAAAACGTTAGCGGTTATCGGAGTTTTTTCTTTATACCATGTTATCTAAGGCTTGTAATGAGAGGATCTGAAGAAATTAAAAGATTATGTAAAATATTAGTGTTTATTCTAGACGTTTTTCGGGAATACCTCTCACGAAATTTTTTAAATTCCTTGTGTCTAGCTTCTTGCACTTCTTTGGACAATTGTTCTATTGAAACGAGAAACGAATTTTTGATCCGCGTATTAAAACTTTGTGAAGAGTGACTGGCATGAGTTACCAATGATAAAGCGTCACGTATACTCCGCTGTTTTCTTCGTGTAAATTTCGAATTTGATTGTATCGATTTCGTAGCCGAATGCCAGTGCTTGTAATATAACCGAAAATCGTTTTATTAGGTTCTTGTTAACACTGGTTATCTCTGCAATAAGAGTGGCATTCGAAAAAAATCTTGCCGAATTACCGTCGTTGGTGTTTCTACCACCTCGCTTGGGAGTATCCAGAAGTAAACCAGTTTCGGTTCTAAATCTATCAATAATAATTTTTTCTTTTTTGTTGATACTGACTCTTTCTCTTCCGTCTCGCGCACTTGGCATTTTTTAATATCCATTCGATACGCTATGTAAAGAATATATGAATCTTATTTCACAATGAAGAGTCGATAGACCAAATGAAAAAGTTTTTTCATTTGCCTCATTTAATGTTATGTTTGTAAGTCATGGCAACGCAACACTTGGGCGATCTGCCTAGGGGGATGCCTTGCGGGAGGTCTTTTTAAAAAGAACTGGCCCCTATTTAGGCGTTACAGACGTGGAGAAAACACGGAAAATTCCATGTGGCCAGCCCGTCCGAGCGAGGCACGAACCCACGACCTTCGTATCCTGAACTCCCAGTGTTCAGGATACGAAGACCGCTTGGCCATTAATGTTACGTAGATCGTTAATTTGACTGGATGGGACGTCCAAAAAGAATTTTTGGGACGTCCCATTATTTGTTTTTGTGGTGTTTTATAGCTTGCACGAGTTTGTGGCAAATTGACATTTTCGATATTTATCTAATTATTGAGCCATAAACGATTTTTGGTTGAAAAATGTTTGGTATTTCAATTACCTTTCTTCCATCTTTGACTTACAAGTTAGACCACGGAAAAAGAAGTAATTCGACGTAACTCATTTTCCACTAACTCGACTGGGTTTGTTAAATTAAACTTTTTTAATGTAGTCTACGATAATATTTTTTACTTCGAACGACCCGCTTATCATTTTATATTTTTCTCTTAGTTTATCAAAAAGTTCACTCCCGCTGACTACGAGCCAATGCCCTGTGAAAGAAAAAAATGGTTTTACGTCAAAATCCGCGCGTTTCCGCACACAAATATCTGTTAGACATAATTATAAAACTTTCGAAAATCCGGAAGAAATGAAATGAAAACATACAAAGACATACGAAAAAAGATGCAGAAGTTTTAAAGTTCTACTTATTTAAAATAAAGTGTAAAAATCCCTTGGGTTTGCGATTGTTTTATATAAAATCTCCTCATTGCCTATTATTAATGAAATATACATATTAAAATACATAGTTTGGCAATTACTATTCGTCTTAATATTGGATAAAAACACTTAAAACAGCCAGCGAAACAACTATTCAAAATAAGTCCGAACACGACACTAATGTTATGATTCCAACCAGATATAAAACTGATGCTAAGCCACTGGGCGTATTTTAAAAATTATCGATAGCAATTGATTCACTGGAATGTTGTTTATTAATACATAAATATGTAAGGGTCATTATCAGTTATGCACTTTTTGACTTTTGTCCTCCTAGAATCGTCTCACGACCCACTGTTGCAAGTTTATAGCAAGTTTTAATCTATTGGCACGACGCGTCGTGTCAATAGATTAAAACGCAAATTTCAACGAACCAATGGTCCAGATCGTAGCGATTCTCGCGAGCATTATAAAGCTGCCAGAAGGGATTATCAAAAACTAATAAAAGAATCCAAAACTGAGTCGTGGAAGAAATTCTGCACGATTGAAGGCAATTCCTCCCCTTGGAGCCGCGTCTATAAATTATTAAGGAAAGACTTCTCGACCCACGTAACTAAGTTATCCATCAAAAATTCCGCAGGCGAAACTTTATACGATGATAAAGCGGTAGCCAGCCTTTTTATAAATACTTTCTTTCTCTCGGACGATCCGTCATCCGACTCTTCCTATCACAGACAGATAAAGTTCTTCTTCGTGATAATAAGTATGTTTTTGGCTTGAGTCTAGACTTAAAAAATGCCTTCAATTCAGCTTGGTGTCCTCAAATACTACGAAGACTTAGTGACAATCAGTGCCCTACAAATCTCTACTATCTGGCAGCCAATTATTTCGAAGAGAGGGAGGCTTTATTCACGTTTGGGCACTTGAAGTGCACTCGTAAGCTTCAGCGAGGTTGCCCACAGGGGTCCGTGTGTGGTCCCCTGTTTTGGGACATTCTCTTTGACAGTTTTTTCCGGACTAATCTTGGTGATCACACTCGCGTCTTCGCCTACGCAGATGACGCATTTTTGGTTTTTCCAGCATCATCCAGGAAACACATCGAGAGTACCGCAACAGACATTTTATCGAAGATACACAGCTGGGGTGATAGCAACAAACTTTCTTTCAATATGGATAAAACCAAAGGCATTGTCTTCTCACTCCCACGTACTGTACAACTGACTTGTACAAACGTGTTCCATGTGTGCGTTATCGCAATAAATCCATTAAAATCGTCAAACATCTCACCTTCCTGGGTGTGGTTATTGATTACAAACTCTCATGGAAATACCACATAGAGCATGTTACAAGTCGCAGCAATATGATATTTAATGGTATGTTAAAGGTTGCCAGAAGCAGCTGGGGCCTCAGCTTTGAAGCCACGATTGCTTATTTCTGCCAATCGTTTCTTATGCGTCTGTTGTATGGTGCAAGGCTGCCAAACATTCGCACAATCACCGACTTCTCCGCACGGCACAGCGAAGGGCCCTTATCCGTCTGACCCGGAGTTACTCCACTGTCTCTAACGCAGCTCTCCCAGTAGTGGCTGGAAAACTTCCCATATTACACTATCTTCTTTTCAGCAGCAAGCGTTTTCTGATCTCCAGGGGCAAAAATGTCTGCATAAATGACACTATTTTTGATGCCTCAATGTATGAGACTGAAAGGCGCATGGCTACCCTTCCACATCCTGCTTGGAGAACGGGACTTTTTTCACGTGAAGTACCCACGAGGATTGAAGGTTTCACGGATGGCTCTAAAACTACTGAAGGCACAGCTAGTGCCTTCGTGATTTTTGATGCAGGAGGTGAGATCCATAATTAGACGTTTGAGCTGCACCCTGAATGCTCTATTTTTCAAGCCGAAATCTTTGCGGTATTAATGGCTATCAAATGGTGTAACATCAATCTTGTCAATACGCCCGTAAATATCTACACTGACAGTGCTGCCACTGTGACCAAACTGAGAAACAAGGACACCACAAACCCCATCTCTATCGATATTTTCGCTGAGGTTGCAATATCATCTAACAGTTATGCCGTTAATTGGATCAGGGGTCACCAGGGCACTCCGGGAAATGAAAGAGCAGATTATCTGGCACGTAATGCAACACTGAACCATACCAATCATCATGATTATGTCCGCATTCCCAAATCGAAACTCAAGTCACTTGTTTGGAACGAAGCCATCAATGCGTGGCAGGCTGATTGGGATAAGGTCTCATGTCAGCACATTACAAAGAGATTTTTTCCAAGAATCCAAAACCGTATGCAGAACAAATGGATGCAGCCCAGTCATGAACTGACGCAATTCTTAACTGAACACGGGCGCTTTCGTGTATATCTTAAGAGATTCCATCTCATAGATAATGATCACTGTAATCTCTGTGGTATTCAAGATGGTGTCTTACACTATCTTTTCAACTGCCCCATGCTTGAGGATATTAGGCATCGCTGGAGGCAGCAAGTAAATATAAACAATATGGACTGGCCTGTAAACCCAGACTTCCTTGTTCATAATAAAGTAAATTTTGGCCTCTTCAAAGAACTTATCAAACTTTATCTGTTTAGAAGTGATATTCGTTAAACTACAAGTGACATCTTGATATGCATCATTGTTTATCTGTGGCTCAAGACATTCTGCGAAGGCTAAAGACTATCCAACGTATTCAATGAAGTTATTATGTGTTCCTTCACCTGTAATGGTATATGTTAACCTGTGGTGTTTTATCAACTATTATGCGGAATGTTTATGTACATTTTCATTTTTTTTACCCTAGCATGAGCTGTGGTAACACTTAAATGTGTAAGGTAATGCAGCTGTGTCAATGTATATACGCATATTTATCTACTTCAGCTCACTTACTGTTAATGGCATCTACTTACTTTATTATTTCCATTTTTTTATTTTATTTTATTTATTTTATTATTTACTTTTGTTTGTTTGTTCTTTTTATTTTTTTTATTTATTACTTTCTTTTTCTTTACTTCTTTTCCAACATTCGTTTTCGGATTATTTTGCAATTGTTATCTGCATGTAACATCAATGTAATTATTTCTGTATTTTCTTACCTGATTATGCCAAGCGGTATCAGGCTAAGTAATAAAGATTATTTGATGATGATGATGATGATGATGATCACAGACAGATCAGAGAAATCATTGAAACCCCTTACTCCAAGGAAAACGACTTGCCTTTTAATATTTCGGAAATAAATCAAGTAGTTTCGGCCCAGCATAATAAGAAATTCCCCCACCATGACGGGCTAAATGCAGAAATTATTAAAACCACCTTTAACTTAGACCCCAGTAACAGTATCCTCTCCCACATCTTTAACCGCTGCCTGTTTTCCGGGTGCTTTCCGATGGCGTGGAAACACGCTATCGTTCCGCTCATCCCCAAGCCAGGAAAGCGTTTAGACTCCGAAAAATCTTTTCGACCAATAAGTTTACTTCCAGTGCTAGGGAAAATCTTAGAGAAGCTAATGATAAATAGAATAACCTATCACTTAACTAAAAAGAATTACCTCTGTAACAATCAATTTGGCTTTACTCCCCAGAAAAGTACCACGGAACTCCTAATAATAGTTAGAGACCGCATGAAAGATGCCCTTGATAATAAGAAAATATGTATCGTCATCTCTATGGACATTCGTCTGCATTTGACACGGCATGGCCACCGCTAATACTAAACGAACTTCGAAAAGCGGAGGTTCCAAAGAATCTCTACGATCTTTTAGTTAGCTACTTTAAAGGAAGGACGGTTCAGCTAACCCACAACTCGGAAACGGTCACGAAATCTATAAAATTGGGAGTCCCCCAGGGATCGGCCGCTGCAGGGATCGGCTCTTTGGAATATTCTACTAAATACGGTGTTCAGGTTACATCTTTCAGGTGATAGCGAGCTCGTAGCATTTGCGGACGACCTCTTAGTGACGGTAACAGACAAGAAAGGATATCACCTCAAAAAGAAGGCCCAAAGCATTTTGGCAAACTTAGAGGCTTGGGCAGCTGATACCAAACTAAGCTTTAATGCAGATAAAACAAAAATACTGTTTGTAACGCGAAAATTAAAATTCAAAAGACCGACATTAACATTAAACGGAAAACGTCTGGAATACGTAAACACCTTGAAATACTTGGGAATTGAATTACATAAAAAATTAAACTGGCGCCCTCACGTGAGAGGTAAAATTGCGAAGGCTGAAAGGCTCCTATTATCCCTCAGGAAAATAGCTAGATTAAATTGGGGTCTAAATTCACATACGCTTGAAACTATCTATGCGGCTGTCGTTTTGCCCATCCTGAGTTACGGCATTGGCGTCTGGGGGGGTTTCTCTCTCTCACCAACAAATCAGGGAAATGTTTCTTAAATTCCAAAGACGAGTATGTATCAAAATAATAAAAGGTTATCGTACGATTTCGCGAGGTTCGGCACTCGTAATTGCCAACAAAACCCCTTTGGACCTCGAGTTGAAATTTTGATATGATTACTATCATATCAAAATTACCGGTTTTTCTTCGATTGGAGATGAACCCATCCGCTTCGCCACTCAGGAGTCGGCAGCAAGGCTTCCTCACCCCGCTTACAATCACGATTTCGCCATAACCGAATATGACGCGTCACGCGAATTGCGCATTTATACCGACGGTTCAAACGGTCCTCGTGGCACGGGTGCGGCTTTCGCTTTCCTTTCAGGCAGGAATGTAGTCTACAAAACAAACTATAAACTTGCAACATAGTACAAGCAGAGGTACTTGCCGTTCGAAACAGCCTAAATTATATAATCGAAAATAAAATAAATAATGTTCTAATATGTTCCGATTCCAAAACAGTCATAGCTTATCTTAAGAAACCAAAAATATCCACCGTCCTTAACTTCGAAACCTACAGTCTATTTAAAGCATGTGTCGCCTCTTATAACACATCGATTTGTTGGGTCAATGCACATAATTCCTGCCCCGGAAATGAGTTAGCTGACTCTCTGGCCACTTCCGCCTACTCTAACGGCGTTATAGCTTTCGATGTTCTTCCCTCTCCCACGCTAAGCGTCTTCTGCGTCGGCGGTCTGTCAGGCTGTGGGAAGGCCGCTGGTCCCTAGACAACAAAGGTGATATCACATACAAATTCTTTCCTACTATAAGCCATAGGCATAAAATTAAACTAAAAAACCACGACTATATTACTACTATGTTTCTCACCCAACATGGTAAACTTAATTACTACTTACACCGATTCAAAATTATAAACACTGTAAACTGTAACTGTGACATGATAGTTCACGACACAATATTTCATATTTTCGAATGTAGCCTGTTTGATCGTTGTCGGGGGAGGCTCATTTCCTTCCTTCACGCGCGTGCCATGGCCTAGCCAGTTCCGCTAAGCGAGCTCGTGGCTGACGAAGAAATATTCGCAATAACTAAAAAATGCTTTGAGCAGTGTGCTGTCTGTTTCGGACCAACTTATCCTTCTCGTGCTGGCCGCCCTTCTACGAGCGCAATCGCGTAATCAGACTTAACTTACTAGCAAATATATCTAAATTTACCATAGCTAAAGTAATAAATAACAATAGATTTTAATGGTTATATTGTATTTTGGGTCCTATACTCCTATCGCTATCCTCTTCCTTTAGAACTATCATTCTTCCTCCATACACATCTGTACCTCGCTTTACGACCTGCGGCTTTTCCCCTCCAATCAATCCCCCCGTAATTACCCGCTGAAAATAAATTTTTATTTCGCTAATTATGTAGATCTTAAGCAACTGTAAGCACTCGTCCAGGTCCGTCTTGCAATCATCCTTCATATGTGAAACATCGTAGAAATTCCCCCGCTTTACGCCCCGCCTTAGCATTTATCTAGGTCATTGCCTAGCAACGTCCCGTGTTTTCACCACTATCCACTAGCGCGTCCCTCTTACCTGTTGTTCATGCTGTAGATCTGTTTTCTGGCGTCCGCTCTCGGCGACCCTATAAACTGACTTTAATTTAAAATTAAATACATTGGTTAGCATTTCATACACTATACAACACGCTTCTGCCTCGTAGCTCTTTTTACACCTTTTCACTGTCTACCACGTCTACCATTTGTTTCTCGCCTCCAATTACACTAATTTTATGTTGCGTTCTGTCTTTACAATTTGTACACATCACACTTTGGCTTTCTCGCCCCATCATACAATCACTTTTCCGCATAGTTTACATGTTCTTGCTGGCTTCTTATCNTACGGGTACTCACTAAATTTCTTAAATGAGGGGTACAATCTAGAGATATGACATGTCACGGGGTACGCTAATGAAAAAAGGTTGGGAACCACTGATCTAGGTCATTGCCTAGCAACGTCCCGTGTTTTCACCACTATCCACTAGCGCGTCCCTCTTACCTGTTGTTCATGCTGTAGATCTGTTATCTGGCGTCCGCTCTCGGCGACCCTATAAACTGACTTTAATTTAAAATTAAATACATTGGTTAGCATTTCATACACTATACAACACGCTTCTGCCGCGTAGCTCTTTTTACACCTTTTCACTGTCTACCACGTCTACCGTTTGTTTCTCGCCTCCAATTACACTAATTTTATGTTGCGTTCTGTCTTTACAATTTGTACACATCACACTTTGGCTTTCTTGCCCCATCATACAATCACTTTTCCGCATAGTTTACATGTTCTTGCTGGCTTCTTATCTACACAAGCACTCGCCTCGGCCTCTCACCTCCTCCAGTTATCACTGTCAGCTGTAAAATTTCCACATGTGTACTCCTCATTCTCTTCCGTCCTTTAATATTGTCATTACTCTATGCCATCAGCTTCCGTTAGCTGCTTGTGTTTTACAGTAATTCATTAACACAATTCAACTCGTTTATTCTAAGGGTAACAAATTCTCATGCACTCTTGTCGCTCAATTGATTACATTCAGCTCTTGCTGTGTTTATGGTGGTTTCTTCTCTCGCCATTTTTCTCCCCACTCTCGGAAGCGTTCCTTCACATCCTTGTCTCGTTGCCCCCTCGCGGACGTTTTCCGAAACTCCGTCAATATCAAATTATAAAATAATCTAGTAACCTTTTAATCAAATTCCAACATCTTTCTTAGCAATCTCAGATTCTGCTGTAACAAATTAAATTAAATTCGCGCTTATTTATCAATCTTACACCTCTTATGCCCTGTATGTATCATTAACACACTCCTACTGTAATCAAAACATATCCTTCTACTCTCTCTCTACACTATTCTATTCCGTACATTCCACACATCTATTTCTTGGTTCCCGAGATAGTGTTTTAAAATAAATTAAATGTAAACTAAAATAAAAATGGAGAATAAAAGTAGCAAGCAAAGCAAATATTTTAAAGTATTCTAATTTAGCATTAAAACCATTAGAATGTTCTTTTCGGGTGACCGGCCCTTCCCGGTTCCCCGAACTTTTAGACAATAGACTAACTGCAATAAAAATATTTTGATTAACCCGGTTCTTTCTCTTTCCAGTTTACTCTTGAAAGTGAACAGTCTTTTATCTTGGTAAGTCTCATTCATTTTTCCGATTCCAGTGTCTGTCTGGTCTAAATTTTAAAATAAAATAGGGTTACGTCTGGAATAAAGTTCTTAGGGTTTAGTTTCTAAATTAAAATAAATAAATTAAATATTACAGCAAGTAGCGGTAGCAATTAGCAGCGTCTGTAACCATGGAACAAATGAGCATCGAGACATTGGACCAAGTATTTACAGAACGAATCTCAGGTGCCAAAGCGGTGCCCAACCTTTAGTCTACGTGGAGCAAATTAAGAGTTTAAAAATTTTAGGCGAGCCACACATAGGACGACGACCTTTTTCTTGAAAAATTCAGCGACAATAGGTAAAAGAATACACAATAATATTACACTACTACTAATCTACTACAAATTAAATATGATACAGGACAAACAAAACTTATTTATTAATAATCAATGTGAAGACTGACTTTGCATGTCTTCTGCAAGTTTAGTGTACTCTGATACATAACGTGTTACAGCAAGAGTCATACAATCATTCAGATGCTCATTTGTCATTTTGGATCTGAACTTTGATTTTAAAAATTTCATTGTCGAAAATCCACTTTCACAAAGGTAAGTTGATCCAAAGCAGGAGTTTATTCTTTGAAAAGTTTCCTTTACAAGTGGATATTTTCTCTCATCCACAAGTGTCCAAAAATCAGTTTGTGATACTCTTGTTTTTAATTGTAGGTCAGATTTAAAATCAATTATTTCCATTTCTAAAATACTAACATTTTTATTCAATATACTTGCAATTTTTTGCGATATTTCAGAAATATTAATATCAACAAATGGATTTAAAATAAATGAAACAATTGATAAATTTTACGAAAATCAGAAAATCTAATTTCGAAATTATTTTTAAGTTCAGCAAGATTTTCGGAATATTTATCTGATTCAATTTTCTTATATTTATGAATATAATTCTGTAAATTTGGAAAATGGCTGAAGTTACATCCTTTAATTTGGGATATCCACAAATTTAATTTTGACTGAAATGCATTTACACTTCCTATTAATTGAAAAAGAGTTCTTTGTTCCCCTTCAAGTTCAAGATTGAGTTTATTAATTTTGGCTGTTATATCAGTAAGAAAGGATAAATCTGACAACCAGACATGACCATTAAGTTCTTCATAAGTTTCATCTCTGGATTCTACAAACAGTTTTATCTCTGGTAGAAGATCTACAAATCGTTGTAAGACTTTTCCCTTACTAAGCCATCTAACTTCAGAATGTAACATTAAAGTTCCATACTCAGCATCAAGTTCATCAGTCAGTATTTTAAATAATCTGCTCTGAAGTGGTCTGGCTCGAATAGAATTTACAATTTTTACAACTTTCATGACATGTTCATAATGCAACACCTTTGTACATAACGCCTGTTGATGGATGATGCAGTGATAATGAACAAAATTTGAAAACTCAGCATCATTCTTACATAATGTGATGAAGACAACACCAGAACCAATCATAGCAGGTGCTCCATCAGTTGTTATGGACACAAGGTTTTGAAGGGGCAGATTAATTTCTTTAATGTAGTTTTTAATAACTTTGTATATGTCCTTTCCACGTGTATTTCCTTGAAGTGGCAAAACTGATAGTATATCTTCTTTCACTTTGCAATCGTTAAACACCATCCTTATATAAATATTTATTTGCGCAATATTACAGATGTCTGTTGATTCATCACATTGTAAACTTAAAAAAAACACATTTTTCTAAATCTTTCTTTCTTTGTAATTTGATATTTTCAGACATTGCTTCTATTCTACGAGTGACTGAATTTTTTGATAATGGAACATCTTCAATAGCTGATATAATTTCCTTCTTCTTTTTAAATTCTTGAAACAATGTTTGTGATGCAGCAAGCATTGCTTCTTTAATTATGTTGCCATCGTCAAAGGGTTTTTTGTGCATTGCAAGTATGTGTGCAATCTTAAATGAAGCAATTGTAGAAGCTCATGATTTAGTCACGGGCTTAGTAAATACAGATTGTTGGGCAACTAATGTGGCTTTTAATTCTTTCACTTTAGATTTTCTTAAATTCCTGCCTAACATTCCCAACCATCTCTCTCTCAACCACATATATGGCAACTATTTCACCAGCCAACTCCTCACTAGCCATGGGAACTTTCGCCAGTATCTCAATAGGTTCACCACAGCGATACCACCTTCTGTCAGTGTGACAGTGGCGCTATAGAGGATCCCCTGCACTTCATGTTTGAATTCAACCTCTATGATACACAGAGAACTCAACTTATTCACAAAGCCCTCATTGAAAGATTCAACTGGCTTTGCACGCCCGATCTCCTCATCAACAACAGTGCCACCTACAACGGACTTACCGAATTTATCCGGGAAACCGGCGCTTAAACCCAGACTTCACCAACCGAAATCAGTCAAGGGACTCTTCATAAGATAGGTGACCTCTACACCAGGGGCCTCGATATAACCGACGAAACATGCACTCGTTTGTAACTATCACCACTTTCAACTCCGGTATTTATAATTGTTCTATAACCACAAAGCTTTTTTTTTCATATGTAACGCGCCATAACTATGTGTACACTCTTTCTTTTCGCATCCTGCACATGTATCCTCCTATTTAAATTACTGTGTTGTTCGTGCTGGCGATTTCTCTCAACTTCACCATGTTTCCTATCACACTTTCACCCCCTTCATCCATCACCCCTCCTCCTTTTTTTACCCTAGGCGATACCCCTGAGTAGTCCTGGTCTTCCGCCCCTTTCATTAAAAATTAAAAAAAATAAAAAAATAGGTTTCTTGGAACAGCATAAAATTATTCATAGCGATACAAAGATATATGTTTGGGACATACTGTATGTCAAAAAAACGTTATAACAATACAACTGTTTTAATCACAAACGTAAATAACGGCCAAATTTGTAAAAAAAAGAAAGTATGTGTGCAATATTTGTAACAAGCTATTTAAGATTAAAAACACTAGAACGTTCGAAATTTCACGCTGAAAAGTGAAATATGTGTAATAAAGAATTTCAATTAAACGCAACTTAATCAGCAGAAAGTTCATTTTAACATAAAACCGTTTTGCTGTCAGAAGTGTAATAGACATACACAATGAAGACAATCTTCGTTAAGTTTGTGAAACAAGTGTGTAACAAAGGTGTTTTTATTAAAAGTTTCTATTAAGCCATCAACTCGTTCATCAGAATCATTCCTATTTTAGAATCTATTGTCAAATCAATTTAAAACAGAAACTAAACTGAAATTGCATTTAAAATTTAATTGTTTAGAAATACACTCCAATTATTTTATCAATGTAACATATGTGATTAAACTTTTACGTGTGGGGAGGTTTTAGAGAAGCATACGACTATTTTTAATATTCAGATTCATTTCTAGTGTTATGATGTTTGTAAAAAGAAATTTACAACAACAATCGAATTCCAAACTCATCAAAAGTCCGTTCATATGCCCAATCGTTATTTCCTTATGTTTTATAAACCAGTTACAAATACCTGTAATTAGGAATAATATCAATCTAAAAGAATAAATTTAAGGCAAACATTCGTGACGTCAGGTAGACACGATGCCATAAGAATCCGATGGCAGTGCCCTGTAACCGATTTTGGCACAGTTGTGCAATTTGCTTGGTTTAAATATTTCATTGACTTTAAAATGGATAACATAAATATCGTACGGAGTTTTCAGTCTCTGTGTATAGTTAGTCTGTGCATTCATTTATCTATATATATAACCCATTCAACGGATATCTGTCTGTCTGCGTAACGGATGCCAAAAACGGTCACTAGAGGCGCCCTAGCAAAGATTTTAAATTAACAATAAATTATTTTTATTTGTAATAGGAATATATTATTGATATGAATTGGATATTTATACCACGGAATGGTATAAATAATTGTATGCCTTGCCTTGCCTTATGAAATGCCTTGATTAACCTTGTGCCGCACGTTTACAACATCCCGTGGCTCATAAGTTAGTGAACGTCGCGCATTGACTCACGGGAAATTTGTTGAAAAAATGGCGGATAGAATATTTAATATGTAAAAATCTAGATCCGTATGACGCGATTGGGACTTTAACAGAGCTGTAGAGCATATTGATAGGAATAAAAAAGTCAAAGGAACCGTGCCTCACGGGAATTTGTAAAGAACGCCCAATAGGAGGCGTCCCGTGCTACTAGTATACAGTGAAAACTGCTTAGGCGACCACCTGCATTCAACGGGCACCTGTCAGAACGTGCAAAAATTTCTGGCACCGAACAGTTTATCCATANAAGTCAAAGGAACCGTGCCTCACGGGAATTTGTAAAGAACGCCCAATAGGAGGCGTCCCGTGCTACTAGTATACAGTGAAAACTGCTTAGGCGACCACCTGCATTCAACGGGCACCTGTCAAAACGGGCAAAAATTTCTGGCACCGAACAGTTTATCCATAGAGTTTTCGTATAAGTTACCTGTATTAAACGACCAACTGTGTAACGCGACCGCGGGCATCGGTTTTTGGTCCGAAACAACATACAACACCTGTAATCAGCGACCACTTTCGCGAATGTATCTGGTCTAAACTATTGTTCGAACCCATCTCAACAACGTTTCCCCCGCTCCTAATATAACGAATTAGTCTAAACTCTCGTTCGAACCCATCCTGGGCACTTCTCCCACCCTTGAAATTAGGTACAGGTGTTAATAAATTACTCTAGCAACAAAGGAAATTCATTTCAGTTTGTTGGAAAATATCCGAAAAACGAAAAAAACGCAAAGTGCTGTCGTTAGAAGATCGTGTTAAAATTATCAGAGAAAGTGAAAATGGTTTATCACAACGGCAATTAGGCTAGTGGCGAAGTTTAACTGGGAAAACGAAATTTATTTTACCGTACAGCTACAGTATTTTCCTTAGGGGTATAAAATATTGTACACGATACAATTAATCGGTTGATCTCATCGTTTGATAAAATTTATTTTTATTTTATTTATTTATTTTGAAGCTCATATAGAGTACATGCGCGATAAATAGTTTTTGTATCAATCTAAATTATTTCCTCGATATTTTTAGAAAAATAATATCCAAGTAATTTTCGCATGCAAAGTATTCAAAAAAACAATAAACGCATTAATGCAAAAATCAGTTTTACAGGCAACCTTCCTTTTTCGATTCCGCAATGACAATCGCAGAATGTAATGAAATCATATAATGAGAAAAAATAATAAAATCGTTTTATTATTAATTAATAATTTTTCTTATTGTACTTAAGAAAAAATAAAAAATTACAGTATTTTTAAAGTTAAAATAAGATTAAATTAACGAATACCAAAACTAAAATTATATAGAGATACTACGGGCTTGTGTATTGATGACGTAATACACGTAACTGAGGAGCAAAAACGAAAACAACCGAGTTAAATTAATTAAGCCTGAAAGAAGAAAGTGTCCATTATAATCGAGAAAATGCGACTATTGTATTAATTTTCAAATATTGATATTAAATCTGTCTTATAAAATCATGATGACTCCTGTAAATCGAGTTATCCGATAAGAATAAAATACAATTCTGTACCAATACAGCCCTATCGTTAAAAAAATTCGCTTATTTTTGTTCATCTCGAGTTTCACTTAGTAGAAATGGCTAGAAAGTGCGCAAAATACGTACGAAAATACGTTATTTCAGGACTACCTGTATTGAACCACCACCTGTCTAAAAGACCACTTTTTCAAGGAACCGTGGGTGGTCGCCATAGACAGGTTATACTGTATTTATAATATACTGGAAATTTTTCCGCCAAGCATGGCGGAATATGTTTTATCAGAAAATAAAGATTGAAGAATTGACATGATCTTCAAGTTGAGCTTGACGTAATCCTCAGCCATTCACAATGCCATTCTTACTCTATGTTGCGTAAGTCGGAGTTCACAGCTCTTGGCAATGTCGATTGTTATTCTTTTAGATGTAGAATTTATCTCACCAATTTTTCTCTTACGCTTACCCCCAAACAAAATAGCGAGTGTTTTTAATTCCACTTTCATAAAACAAAGATGAATCTTATGTAGAGTGGCCATCACTATATGCCTAAAAGAGAGTACACTGTTAGAGGTAATTCCCGCGAACCGTGTTGACTCCCGTGCTTTTCATTTTTTATACACATATGTATAAATAAAATACGAAAAAATAAATGTATGGAATGTTTAATACTCGGCGATAATATTATTTAAACGTTTTCGTTTAAATAATTCGCAGTTTTATAGGAATCGTAATTATAGAAACCCGTTTTATAGGGGATCTACTGTATACAATGTCAAAATTCACAGTGTTAAGTGTATGGTCAAGGGAAGCAAGGTGTCTGCCCCACACAGGCCAACGTAATACGTATTCGTACTTGTGTGCTTTACTGCTAACTCTGAAGAAAAATAAATGTAAATATTAACCATTTAATTATTTCCGAGCCCACCAGTGGCCAAGCAGTCTTCGTGCCTAGAACACTGCGAGTTAGGTCGTGGGTTTACGTCTCGCTGAGACGGGCTGGCCAGGTGGAGTTTTCCGGGTTTTCTCCACGTCTGTAACGCCTAAATAGGGACCAGTTTCCTTTAAAAAGACCTCTCGGAAGGCATTGCCCTAGGCAGATCGCCCAAGTGATGC